AGAGGGACTAGTACCGAACTTGCACACGAAAATCACTCACTACGAAAGCAAAGACTTGGCAGACGATGCAACATCCCCCCAATGAAAAGCAGGGGTGTCACTAGCACGTTAAGAGACCATACAATAAGTGTCAGGGGCCCGAGACTGTTCAACTGCCTCCCAGCACACATAAGGGGGATTACCAACAGACCCCTGGCAGTCTTCAAGCTGGCACTGGACAAGCACCTAAAGTCAGTTCCTGATCAGCCGGGCTGTGGCTCGTACGTTGGTTTGCGTGCAGCCAGCAGCAACAGCCTGGTTGATCAGGCGCTGATCCACCAGGAGGCCTGGTCACAGACCGGGCCGCGGGGGCGTTGACCCCCGAAACTCTCTCCAGGTCTCCAGGTAGTAAATGGTAACAAAGACAATTATTATTTATCAAGGTTACAGAGACAAGTAAGAATTTTAGGACACCTAGGTCACAAAAAATGTCCCCCTTCGATACATACTACAATCTACAAAACAAATTCTGGCCACAAAGTAGAGCGAAACACCAACGTCAAAGACCTGGGAGTGATCATGTCAGAGGATCTCACCTTCAAGGACCATAACATTGTATTAATCTCATCTGCTAGAAAAATGACAGGATGGATCATGAGAACCTTCAAAACTAGGGAGGCCAAGCCCATGATGACACTCTTCAGGTCACTTGTTCTATCTAGGCTGGAGTATTGCTGCACACTAACAGCACCTTTCAAGGCAGGTGAAATTGCTGACCTAGAAAATATACAGAGAACCTTCATGGCACGCATAACGGAGATAAAACACCTCAATTACTGGAAGCGCTTGAGGTTCCTAAACTTGTATTCCCTGGAACGCAGGCGGGAGAGATACATGATTATATACACCTGGAAAATCCTAGAGGGACTAGTACCGAACTTGCACATGAAAATCACTCACTACGAAAGCAAAAGACTTGGCAGACGATGCAACATCCCCCCAATGAAAAGCAGGGGTGTCACTAGCACGTTAAGAGACCATACAATAAGTGTCAGGGGCCCGAGACTGTTCAACTGCCTCCCAGCATACATAAGGGGGATTACCAACAGACCCCTGGCAGTCTTCAAGCTGGCACTGGACAAGCACCTAAAGTCGGTTCCTGACCAGCAGGGCTGTGGCTCGTACGTTAGTTTGCGTGCAGCCAGCAGCAACAGCCTGGTTGATCAGGCTCTGATCCACCAGGAGGCCTGGTCACAGACCGGGCCGTGGGGGCGTTGACCCCCGGAACTCTCTCCAGGTAAATTCCATGTATATCTCCACAAGTCACTCTGGACCTATATTAATTTCAAATGAAATATACATCACCAGGAATTCTGGTGATGTATATTTCATGTATATTCTGGTATATTCTTGTAATGTAAATATGTGGATTGTATATTAAATTTAAAAAGAAGAATACATATACATTGAAGGAGAATTTATCTTAATACCACTCACCAATTAGTCTGGAGATTACGGTGTGTCATACACAAAACCCCCTGCCTAAAATATGAAGAAAATACTGGCCAGAATTTCAACATAAATAGACATCGACTCAGCTGTGGTAATATCCTATTTCCGTCTAATTACGGAGTCCTGTCCAGTCGCTTAATTCTCACATTTTGCAGGACTGCAATTCCAACAATTTCGACTCCTATTTGAGAGGTTTTAAGCCCAATAAAACCTCTAGAGTGACGAAAATTCTTCCGATTTTCACTAACGTTTCTCTTGGTCACTTCAAAACAATGGCGACTCCCCCCCCCTCGCAACACTCACCCATTTCGCTGGTTCTTTATTTATTTACAGATTAATTTTTATTACCTACAATATATTCCATCAATTTACATACAAAAAACACTGTATTTTCGGAAAATATACAGTATTTTCCACATCACTTTTCTGCCAATAGTTGCTTATATCTCAACCAAACTTCCTCCTCCCTTAGTTTATACACTTTCACCTCTCTCTTACTTATTCTTGCCATTTTCCTCTTGTCCCATCAACCTCTTACTATAACTGTAGCTACAACTAAATAATGATCCAATATATCACTTGCCCCTCTATAAACATGTACATCCTGGAGCCTACCCATCAACCTTTTATCCACCAATACATAATCAAGCAAACTGCTTTCATTACATGCTATATCATACCTTGTATATTTATTTATCCTCGTTTTCATAAAATATGTATTACTTATTACCAAATCTCTTTCTACACACAGCTCAATTAAAGGCTCCCCATTTTCATTTACTCCTGGTACCCCAAATTTACCTACTACTCCCTCCACAACATTTTTACCCACTTTAGCATTGAAATCCCCAACCACAAGTACTCTCACACTTGGTTCAAAACTCCCCATGCATTCACTAAACATTTCCCAAAATCTCTCTCCTCTACACTTCTCTCTTCTGCAGGTGCATATACACTTACTATAACCCACATCACATCCAACCTTTAATTTACTCCATATAATCCTTGAATTAATACATTTATACTCCCTCTTTTCCTGACATAGCTTATCCTTCAGCATTATTGCTACTCCTTTAGCTCTAACTCTATTAGAAACCCCTGACCTAATCCCATTTATTTCTCCCCACTGAAACTCTCCCATCTCCTTCAGCTTTGTCTCACTTAAAGCCAGGACATCCAGCTTCTTCTCGTTCATAACATCCACAATCATCTCTTTCTTATCATTTGCACAACATCCAGGCACATTCAAACACCCCACTTTGACAATTTTCTTCTTTCTTTTTAGTAGGCTATACTGGAAAAGGGGTTACTAGCCCATTATTCCCGGCATTTTAGTTGACTTTTACAACACGCATGGCTTATGGAGGAAAGATTCTTATTCCACTTCCCCATGGATATAAAAGGAAAAGTAATAAGAACAAGAACTATTAAGATAACATCAAAGAAAACTCAGAAGTGTATATAAATAAACGTGTACATGTATGTGTAGTGTGACCTAAGTGTAAGTAGAAGTAGCAAGATGTACCTGCACTCTTGCATGTTGATGAGACAGACAAGACACCAGCAATCCTACCATCACGTAAAACAATTACAGGCTCTTGTTTTACACTCACTTGGCAGGATGGTAGTGCCTCCCTGGGTGGTTGCTGTCTACCAACCTACTACTACATTAATTCTTATGGGAAATATTACTTCAGTTTTCGACCTTTTTGGATTTAGGCCGACCTTCTGGAACGGATTACAGCTGAAATCCAGGGTTCCACTGTAACTCTTCTCCCTTAACCCTTTGACTGTCGCAGGCCCCTTTCTGAAACTATCATTCTATGTCGATAATTTTTTGGAAAAAAAATTATTTTTTTCTTATGAAATGATAGAGAATCTTTTTCCAATGGTAATGACACCAAAAGTACGAAATTTGGTAGAAAACTCACGGAATTACGCTCCCGCGAAGTTAATAGTCTCGGCGACATATGCGCATCGGCGATTTTGCCAACTTTTAGCCCTGTTTTTGGCCAATTCCGTTGTTCCCGTTGACCAAACTCATAGCTATTTCTTTAGAACTCCATTTTTTCTATCTGTTGAGTACAAGAAACCGCCCATTTACTGATTTGAACTACCCAATAAAGTGGTTAGAAATTGGCAATGTGGCCAATTTCACCCAAATTAAAAAAGATACCAATTTCAAAATAGGGTCCAGAATAAACAATGTAGACATTCTTAGCACTTAAATAACATATCCTCTGTTCATTAGTCACATCTCTAGGCCCCTCTTATATTACTATTGCTTTCTATTTTGATTTTTTATTCATACAAAAAATACAAAATTTACTGTTATGCAGACTACTGCATTATTGTAAAAACCATATAAATAATATCAGTGCACTAGTGAAAGAATATTAGACTCCCCAGTTGAAGTGTATTGGACGTGTGGTGTGATTTGCTTACTCCTGAACATTGGTAAAAGTTTCAGCTGCTTCGAGCTCAATTTCAAGGTCGTTTTCATCGTGAAATACGATACGAAAATACACCTCAAAGTCGGAGTTTTAATCCAAAAAATGGTCATTTTTTTTTTCTCATTATGCACTGCATGCTGCAGGATTTTTTTTATGTGGTGCACACTGATCACACAGACCCATTCTCTCACATGTGGGCCTACCAGCTTTCTCCCGCTTGATTTGAAGCCGCTAGAATTTACATGTATAAATACGTTAGAAACAGTGGTGCGTAAGACGTATACATGTATATACGACTGAAACAGTCAAAGGGTTAAGATCCAGGGGTACCCTCAACATGGCCAGTGCTGTTGCTGCTGCTTGGAAACCACCTTCATATACCAGGAACCCAAGAACACCAGGATGACATCTCTAGAATCAAGAGCCAGGCTCACCCAAAATCAGTAGGCAACTGGAAATGCAGATTTTGTACTCCTTTGGGTGCCACCTCCCAGAACCAAAAAGCAAACAGCACCACCACCAAGGTTCTCAAGAGAATGGGATGGATATATGTAATTGTTTTATAATAAAAAAGCAGCACTAAACTAATGGGATGGATAACAATCCATTTTCCCTCTTCCTAGGAGACGAAATTCACAAAGGGTAATTTTTTTTTTAACAGTTGCTGTCTCCCACTAAGATAGGGCTACCCAGAAAAAGAAGAAACAAACTATTTTTTTTTTTTACATTCAGTAATTTATACAGGAAAAGATAGTTACCAGTCCCTTGCTCCCAGCATTTTAGTTGCCTCTTATGACACACGGCTTATGGAGGAAGGATTCGACTATTTCCCCATGGAATAAGGAAGTAAATATCCCCACATATGGATAGGAGGAAGGGACTGATTATTAGATTCAGTCCAAGAAAGGAGACAGGTCTAATTCCTCAGATCAAGACCCCCTTTGCCATACCATTAGACCCTCTCCCCCTTGAAAGTGAATAAATTTTCCACTCTTAGCCACTGACTGTCATTTATTTTATTCATGTTTTTCTGAGCAAGTATAAGAAAACCAGACATGTAAGATAACCTTTTATTGTAGTTTGACCATAACAGAGCCGAGGCTGGGATATGGATGTCCAGCATGTAACATAACATAAATGGTTCTTTCACAGATCTTATATTATCATTGACTCTTAAATTAATTTGTAATATCATTTTAAGATTGAATACAAAGTTACAGAGTACACTCATTCATAAATTGATCATGAATATGAAAATAAAGTATAATTCTTAATTTTCCTAGGAAAAAGATATAAAAAAAAAAACATTAAATAAAAATATATATAAAAATGCATATACTTTCTTGTACCTCATTATATAGTTTCTTAAATGTGTATACCTATATTTATTTTTGTAATAGAAAATGTAGTACTGATAATACCTATCACTTATTAATATAACACCACATTTTCTTTTTAACTTCACTATAACAGGATAATACATAAATGGCATCAGAATCAATTAAACAATAAATAACAGTGAAGACATAATGATACAATAGCACAGTTCAATGCATGCAATTAATGAATAGGGAAAGAGACAGTAACAATTTTAAGATACATTCCACACCACATTGAGGCGGCTCTGTCAAGGTCATCTAGGGTGGCAATGCTGGGGCAACAATGGTGAAGGTGATGGTGGTGGTGTGCAGTATATCCATAGCACTAAACATACAATCTTCCACAATTCCACAATGCACACAAAATAGCTAATTGGATACTGGTACCGTCATTCATTCAAATGTTTGCAACAAATAAATTGTTCTGTATATGCTAATGGAAAACTGCAAAAATCTGCATATTCCAAGATCCTTTACTAAAAGAAATGCATGGTCCTATATACTCAACCAAACTTGCAAATCGGACCTTAAAACTTGCAAATAATTGTGCAATTTTCTTAGTTAACCACCAGTTAATACAGCCAATACTAGAATGCAAATTGCATATTTTTATACACCACAACATAAAATATAATGAGTGTTCAACAAAATACATACTTGTCAGATCCTTGCATAATAAACTACAGTATAGTGTAATTAAGAAATGCTTTATGATAAATCCCCAATAAAATATTGTAAATACCTCTGTGTGAGTGTGCGTGTTTATGTATATATATATTTGCAACATGCTGGCCGTCTCTCACCGCATACATATATGCATGCATGCATATATGTATGCAACTGAAGTTCTACACAACCATATCATGAAATTATAAATTGTCAAGGAGGGTCAATGTGGGATATAAATCCACACTGTACAGCTACAAGATGTGCGAGCTACTACCGAGCCAGTGTACGAAAGAGTGAGAACTTGTGGATCTTAATGAAGCTCCAACAAGGCAATGTGAGAGTTAATGAGGCTCTAACAAGGTAATGTGAGAGTTACTGAGGCTCCAACAAGACAACGTGAGAGGTACTGAGGCTCTACCAGGGCAATGCGAGAGTTACTGAGGCTCCAACAAGGCAATGTGCGAGTTACTGAGGCTCCAACAAGGCAATGTAAGAGTTATTGAGGCTCCAACAAGGCAATGTAAGAGTTATTGAGGCTGTAACAAGATAAAGTGAGAGTGATCACAATGCCAAATTCATGCTTTACTTCATTCCAGAATCCACTTGTGGTTAATGTAACGACAGTTCATCGTACACTTCATCTATCCATATAAAAGGTCTTTAGGATAAAAATATAAAGACTATCCTTTTTAAAATAAATATGAAAAGTTCATGAAAAGCTAAGGGCGTAGTTTTTTTACTGTTATCTAACACACACAAGCTTAAAATGTGATCCTGATCTAAGATGTAGGACAAAGTTCTTGGAAAATGTATTTGTAGACACTTAGATCAACTCTTACTCTTCAATTTTCTTTGAACCAGATCCAGATCCACAAAACTTCACATTATATTCTGAAGCAGCTTATTCAACATTAATTAAAAAGGTCAGAGGGAAAATTCAGCTACATATATGTGAAGTACACAGTCTATTAATTGTATCTTTATATAGTGAAAGGAAAGCCTACCTTGAACAGCATCTGCCTGCATCACAATGGTACAGCTCTGAGGACAAACTCACTCTTATGACATTAGAGCATGAGGTTATTTGGCTAATTCTATGGAGGCACAAAGTGCAAGATTGTTCACATGCATATTTATATGGTTACAAAGTTATTTCATTTACATACATTCAAATCAATATAACAAAAATGTGGAAATAAAATAAGCATGCAACTCTTCTTCAGACATGTGACACTATAATTAATAGGTTTCTCAAGCTGAAGTTACACAAAATGTTTACAGTAAAAAAACAAATAGGTTAATGAACACATGGTTAGTAATGTGTGAATATAGAGTATACATGGTTACTAAGAGTATATCTCCACACCAAATGTGCCGCCACCATCATGCCCCAGGACTCCTCAAATATTCCTAAATGAATAGACATGAAGACAACAGCAAAGTCAAAAAATACTCAAAGCATCTAAACATTGTAATCCTAAATGCAAGCCAAAAAAAAGTGTCAATGAAACATTGACATACAGGTCACCAGAAAGCAAATACAGTAGTTATTAATGCACAATCACTAAATATAGAGGGTCTACAATTACTTAAGAATAAAAATTACACTTAAGTTTGAACCACCAACCACAAGACTAAAGTATTATACATAAAATAAAGTTCATGCAACAGTGTTCATGGTATGGCTACAAAACTTCCTCAGCACTAAGTAACTTTCAGAGTGCCGGGACCATCATCGTAGCTGCATCACAAACAGCTGTACCCTTATCTTCTGTGACCTGACCTGTCATTCCCAGCTCTACACCGTATTTCAATAAGATTCACTTTCCAATAAGAAGGGACAGAGAACCTTATGATAGCCCTTGGCAAGACTCAAAACAGTAGGTCATATCACAATTTTTGACTTCAAAGCCAATGTGCTGATGGTGTGGTTAAGTAAAATCAAAGTATAAACTTGCTAAAACTTGTAAATTAATAAAGTTTAATATGCCTACTTTCTAATGTTCAAAACTGGTGAAGGTTCTAATGCTTTTATAAAAGTCTAACTTTCAGTTATATGAATGCTCTGAAGTTGTTAAATCAGCATCATTTTAAAAAACTGAGATGTTTTAATAGACCACTCACTACACTACCGAGGCTCATATGAATTCAATACTTCCTATTATAAGCTAATGCCTGTGAAACTTAATTTACTGCAAGATGAACATCTGATACATGCAAGAGGATATGTGCATACACTGTTGTGTCTCTAAGTGAAAAATTATAAAATTGAATGAACATTAGAAATAGCATGTTACAACAAAAGTTTCCTTATTTTAACAGAAGTGAATGCAAACAATAGCAATGCTTTAATAACCCAGGAATTAAAAAAGCCTTGGTAATCATGTTTATTTAAAAAATAATTACTAAAATCTACTGACATGGACAATCAAAGTTTTCAATAACTTGATGCTTGACAATTACAGCATTAGTGTACACATTGATTCTGGGTACATAGTTCCCATTCACTTGACCACACCACCAGGTATTTACTCGAGCCACATTTTGCAGCCCTCTCAGGCAATGTTTTCCGTTGTCTTCATATGTGTTCATAATTGTTATCAGCTGCACTCATGATGTCATCACAGCATGAGAGTGTTAACTGCCACTGTTGTAAAACCCGTCATCACAAGTAGAAATTCACATCCACAGAGGATGAACAAATTCTAGCTCTTGACAACTTACAGGTTTAAGTTAAATTACACATCCTACAGCTCATAAATGCATTCTATAGGGGATTGGCAAGTAACACTACCATGCCCCAATTCTTTCATATCTGGTTCTGTTGGAGGCAGAGCTTAGAGTGGTACTGCTAAAGAGGCCTAGGCAAGAGATTTTTAAAACACCACTTTAATTTAATTGTAGGAAAGTAAGAACTTGAGCAATGCATTTTTTTAATATGATCATCTGTTGCAACATCAGTACACACTACATGTTTCCACTAATGTTCAAGTGATAGTTTTAAAAATCTAGCCCATATTAGTTACAAAGAATGATAACAGTAAAAGTAGGAACCCCAAGAGAACAAGTTAATAACAATACTTTTGAGTTGTACTTAAACTGTCAGATATATTTGTCATGTCTGACAATAACAGAAGATAAAACTTATTGATTTTAGAACCTGATAAACTATTAGTTACCAAACAATTCTGCATTTTGGACAAAGTTCCTTTACATTATAGTGGGGCATAAAGCTTTTAATAAGATAAAAACATGAAAATGACAGTATTATGCAACTTACATTAATGATAAGGTCCTTCATATACAAACAGCAACCTGAATTTAACCTTAAATTAATAATAATACCAGTGTGGTCAAGATGCAGGCTTTATACTTATGTGGATTCACCTCACACTGGTTCTTAAATTAGAGAACTGGCCTCCATCAATACTTTAGGAACTATGTACGTTAGTACAGACATTTACAGCAGAGCAAGCCTATGTTTGGACATTTTGCTCATACGTGAGCTTTTTCATGTCAATATAATTTAAAAGCTCACTTGTGAGCTAAACATCGTCTAAATAAAGGGTTGCTGGGTTATAAGCGTCTTCATACTACCATACCTGTAGGCATCTTTTTGCTTTCAAAACTAAGAGCTGTGTAGCCACTGAATGGCAGTACCTACTTAGTGAGTTGTGCAGTTTTTCTGATAATGACTTTTAATTATTAATTAACCAAGTCAAAAGAAAATTATCATATTTGCATCAAATTTACAAATTTTCACTGATACCATGACACTTAATGATACACGCATCAACACAAATTAAACAATTAGTACATTCTAATGAATTACCATCTTAGGAGTCCAAGTCAGTGTTTGGCTTACTGATGTGGTAACTCAAGAGGAAACAACTATGAACACAAATCATCTGTCCTAACGGAACTACACGAACAAGTTGCTCTCAGCTCAAGGAGCACTCAGTGGCTACACAGGTTTGAGAAATTAATTTACAGTAAATGAAAGATTAAAAAGGCATGTGCCACCTACTCAGGACAGCAGGAAGAATTTTAAATGGATCAATGATACCATTTAATGACTGGCACACAGGCTAACAAGAGGACCTTATGCATTGAGTAATAGCACACACACAGGTTATAAATAATGCCAAGAGAAACCTATACTGACCACCCAGATATTTAATCACTGCTTGCAAGTTGTGAGATGTACAATACAGATGCACTTATTAGTACAAAATGCTCCACTTATAGCAGATAATTTGCTCTTTTATCTATAGCATTTGGTAGAGAAGCCAAATTAACAAATATCAATGATGTCTTATGCAATGATAAACCAAAGAGATCTTTACTCCATCCATAAGATGATTGCAAAAAACAATGAACATCATAAATCATGTAGGGATCAGCCTAGGGTAATAAGTCACAAATTTCACGAGGGTTAACTTTAAAAGTAAAAAATTATCCTTGTTAATATGGAACCAAGTAAAGTTTAAAAGTGCCTCAATAGTTTAAGCATCTAATGTATACAAGTCATTACATTATGAGTAAATATTGGGTGCAGCATCTGTCAACTGGAAAGCTCTTGTACACTACCAACCTAAGATTTTGGGAGTGTTTGAGGGAGGGCCAGAAAACAGTGTGCATCTGGGTTGAAGTCTCCAAGGAGTCACCTCCCTCCCTCAGACACTCCTCTCCACCAGTAATACCAGATAACCAGCATTGGCACACTTAAGCCTGTAGGAGAGGCATGATACATTTCTTGTAGTTTATCTGTTTGCTTAATAGGGAAAATGAGCTTTAGTTCAGATACATCTAAAGCTCAATATCACTCAATATCCTGTTTGCCATACTGTTTCACTCAAATTATGGGATTTAGTAGTAATTCTTTCTTCTGTAAGAACAGTTCTATACTCATAACACACATAATTGCATAATAAAATGATTGAGTTTATAAAAAGGACAAAATACAGAGGAAGACAATAAGAATATACGGCGAGATCGGCAGTTATGAGATTAAAGAACTATATATCACTTCTCTCATTACTTTTATACCTAAAAATATATAACTACTGTAGCCAGTCACAAAATTTTGTGAAGGCTCAGAATTACTGATCAAGCCGCATATACATACATCCATCACTTCATATACATCGGTCAAGATGTTAACTTTATTCTGTCATGAAAGTTACTTGACAAGAGGATACGGTAACATGAGACCAATCATCATATCTCTAAGGTTGAGTTCCAGTTTTTATAATATGGTAAATCAACATTAAAGCAAGATTGTTGCCATTTCCATGAAGTCTCAAAAGTCAGTTAAATAAGTGTAACACAAATGAAGAGTGTCTTAAAAATTCTTGAAACTTTTTTTTACACCCCTGCCTAGTCTTGAATGTGCTCCTTGTCCTGTTCCAAGAATAATTATTACAAAATTCACTTGAGCATTAACATGTTATCAGCCCAGCTACGAAAGCATACTGGGGTAAATGTCCCTTACTGAACTGACTTTAAGGAACTGCAATGAAAGCAACAATGTGAGTATTGGTGTCATCCTCATGTTAGTACTAGGATCTTTAGTCTTGCTTGGCTGCTGTCACTGTGTCCAAGCCCATCTTGGCCAGAGCCCGTAATGCAGTTAGACATGCCTGCAAGGAAGGACTGATGTTAGAGATGAGGTGGTCTTATTATTAAAATTTTTGTTTTTTTTCAACAAGTCGGCTGTGTCCCACGGAGGCAGGGTGACCCAAAAAAGAAAGAAAATCCCCAAAAAGAAAATACTTTCATCATTCAACACACTCACACACTATCACTGTTTTTGCAGAGGTGCTCAGAATACAACAGTTTAGAAGCATACACATATAAAGATACACAACATATCCCTCCAAACTGCCAATATCCCAAACCCCTCCTTTAAAGTGCAGGCATTGTACTTCCCATTTCCAGGACTCAAGTCCGACTATATGAAAATAACCGGTTTCCCTGAATCCCTTCACTAAATATTACCCTGCTCACACTCCAACATTTCGTCAGGTCCCAAGTACCATTAGTCTCCATTCACTCCTATCTAACACGCTCACGCACGCTTACTGGAAGTCCAAGCCCCTTGCCCACAAAACCTCCTTTACCCCCTCTCTCCAACCCTTTCGAGGACGACCCCTACCCCGCCTTCCTTCCCCTATAGATTTATATGCTTTCCATGTCATTCTACTTTGATCCATTCTCTCTAAATGACCAAACTACCTCAACAACCCCTCTTCTGCCCTCTGACTAATACTCTTATTAACTCCACACCTTTTCCTAATTTCCACACTCCGAATTTTCTGCATAATATTTACACCACACATTGCCCTTACACAGGACATCTCCACTGCCTCCAACCGTCTCCTCGCTGCTGCATTTACCACCCAAGCTTCACACCCATATAAGAGTGTTGGTACTACTATACTTTCATACATTCCCTTCTTTGCCTCCATAGGTAACGTTTTTTTGACTCCACATATACCTCAACGCACCACTCACCTTTTTTCCCTCATCAATTCTATGATTAACCTCATCCTTCATAAATCCATCCGCCGACATGTCAACTCCCAAGTATCTGAAAACATTCACTTCTTCCATACTCCTCCTCCCCAATTTGATATCCAATTTTTCTTTATCTAAATCATTTGATAGCCTCATCACCTTACTCTTTTCTATGTTCACTTTCAACTTTCTACCTTTACACACATTCCCAAACTCATCCACTAACCTTTGCAATTTTTCTTTAGAATCTCCCATAAGCACAGTATCATCAGCAAAAAGTAACTGTGTCAATTCCCATTTTGAATTTGATTCCCCAAAATTTAATCCCACCCCTCTCCCGAACACCCTAGCATTTACTTCCTTTACAACCCCGTCTATAAATATATTAAACAACCATGGTGACATTACACATCCCTGTCTAAGACCTACTTTTACCGGGAAGTAGTCTCCCTCTCTTCTACACACCCTAACCTGAGCCTCACTATCCTCATAAAAACATTTTACAGCATTTAATAACTTACCACCTATTCCATATACTTGCAACATCTGCCACATTGCTCCTCTATCCACTCTATCATATGCCTTTTCTAAATCCATAAATGCAATAAAAACTTCCCTACCTTTATCTAAATACTGTTCACTTATATGCTTCAATGTAAACACTTGATCTACACATCCCCTACCCACTCTGAAACCTCCTTGCTCATCCGCAATCCTACATTCTGTCTTACCTCTAATTCTTTCAATTATAACCCTACCGTACACTTTTCCTGGTATACTCAGTAAACTTATTCCTCTATAATTTTTACAGTCTCTTTTGTCCCCTTTCCCTTTATATAAAGGGACTATACATGCTCTCCGCCAATCCCTAGGTACCTTCCCCTCTTTCATACATTTATTAAACAAAAGTACCAACCACTCCAACACTATATCCCCCCCTGCTTTTAACATTTCTGTCATGATCCCATCAGTTCCAGCTGCTTTACCCCCTTTCATTCTACGTAATGCCTCACGTACCTCCCCCACACTTACATTCTGCTCTTCTTCACTCCTAAAAGATGGTATACCTCCCTGACCAGTGCATGAAATTACTGCCTCTCTTTCTTCCTTAACATTTAAAAGTTCCTCAAAATATTCTCGCCATCTACCTAATACCTCCATCTCCCCATCTACTAACTCCCCTACTCTGTTTTTAACTGACAAATCCATACTTTCCCTGGGCTTTCTTAACTTGTTTAACTCACTCCAAAATTTTTTCTTATTTTCATTAAAATTTCTTGACAGTGCCTCTCCCACTCTATCATCTGCTCTCCTTTTGCATTCTCTCACCACTCTCTTCATCTTTCTTTTACTCTCCATATACTCTGCTCTTCTTATAACACTTCTGCTTTGTAAAAACCTCTCATAAGCTACCTTTTTCTCTTTTATCACACCCTTAACTTCATCATTCCACCAATCACTCCTCTTTCCTCCTGCCCCCACCCTCCTATAACCACAAACTTCTGCCCCACATTCTAATACTGCATTTTTAAAACTATTCCAACCCTCTTCAACCCCCCCACTACTCATCTTTGCACTAGCCCACCTTTCTGCCAATAGTCGCTTATATCTCACCTGAACTTCCTCCTCCCTTAGTTTATACACTTTCACCTCCCTCTTACTTGTTGTTGCCACCTTCCTCTTTTCCCATCTACCTCTTACTCTAACTGTAGCTACAACTAAATAATGATCTGATATATCAGTTGCCCCTCTATAAACATGTACATCCTGGAGCCTACCCATCAACCTTTTATCCACCAACACATAATCTAATAAACTACTTTCATTACGTGCTACATCATACCTTGTATATTTATTTATCCTCTTTTTCATAAATATGTATTACTTATTACCAAATCTCTTTCTACACATAGCTCAATTAAAGGCTCCCCATTTACATTTACCCCTGGCACCCCAAATTTACCTACTACTCCCTCTATAACATTTTTACCCACTTTAGCATTGAAATCCCCAACCACCATTACTCTCACACTTGATTCAAAACTCCCCACGCATTCACTCAACATTTCCCAAAATCTCTCTCTCTCCTCTACACTTCTCTCTTCTCCAGGTGCATACACGCTTATTATAACCCACTTTTCACATCCAATCTTTATTTTACTCCACATAATCCTTGAATTAATACATTTATAGTCCCTCTTTTCCTGCCATAGGTTATCCTTCAACATTATTGCTACTCCTTCCTTAGCTCTAACTCTATTTGAAACCCCTGACCTAATCCCATTTATTATTAAATATATGAAGGCATAATAAATTTTCAAGTTATTTAAATGTACAAATAATTCTTGTTATATACGAATGCTTGAACATTAGGGTATATGTTCACTTTAAACACCTTTCCTTCCAGTATATAAGAAATATTACAGAGGCTTACTCCATCCTGGCTGACTGGAAGACGGCTATATGATTCCGAGTGAATATAAAACAGGTGCAAAAACTTAGGCACTATGGAGATGTACAATCATGCACTGGCTTACTCAAACTCAGTTCTTAGCCATTGTTGATGTCTTGAAACTAAAATGCATCTTGTGGTGCATTTTATGCTCTACATGGAATACCTTGTTGTGCATTTTATACCTCACAAGATATAACTTGTGGTGTATTTTATATCCAACATAAACATTGTTATTACAGGTGCACATCCCTTTATCCGAAACCCTTGGGGCCTGTATTGTTTCGAATTTCAGAATGATTCTCAACACCACCACGTGGCGGTGTGACCCAGCACGGAGATGATTGACACTCCACGAAAAAACTTCGGTTTTCAGAACTTTTTGAATTTCAGAATTTCAGATAAAGGGGCATGGACCTGAACTGTAGTAAATTTTATCCCAGGAAATAAGGCCTATAATGAAATTGAATTTAAAGATTTTCAGTGCTGCAAAGGCTGAAAGGGAAAACATTAACATATGAACAAAATTGACTATTTTAAAGCAGACTGACAGTGGAAAGATACCAGGCACTGCTGCAAAAGCATACCATTTACCTGATTGGAGAGCATTTATCATCCATGCTCTACACAAGAATGTGACAGCAAGTACTTAAAGTCAACACAAGATTTCACAAATATGTTTGGTGTTAGTTGAGGGATGCCTGAAAGATTTAAGGAGATATAACAGTGATATAGGGTGTGTAAAGGAAGAAAGTTGAAAGCGAATATAGATAAGAGTAAGGTGATGACGGTATCAAATGATTTAGATAAAGAAAAACTGGATATCACGTAGGAGGGAGGGAGTATGGAAGAAGTGAATGTTTTCAGATATTTGGGTGTTGACTTGTCAGCAGATGGGTTTATAAAGAACGAGGTTAACCACAGAACTGATGAAAGAAAAAAGTGAGTGGTGCGCTGAGGTATCTATGGAGATGAAACAAAGTTATCCATGGAGACAAAGAGGGGAATGTACAAGAGTATAGTGGTACCAACACTCTTACATGGGTGTGAAGCATGGGTTGTAAGTGCTGCAGTGAGGAGGCAGCTGGAGGCAATGGAGATGTCGTGTCTAAGGGCAATGTGTGGTGTAAATATCATGCAGAGAATTCGTAGTGTGGAAATTAGGAGGAAGTGTAGAGTTACTAAAAGTATTAGTCAGAGGGCTGAAGAGTTGTTGAGGTGGTTTGGCCATTTAGAGAGACTGGAACAAAGCAGAATGACTTGGAGATCGTATAAATCTGTAAGGGAAGGAAAGTGGGGTAGGGGTCACCCTCAAAAAGGATGGGGGAGGGAGGGGGTAAATGAGGTTTAGTGGGCAAAGGGCTTGGACTTCAAGCAAGCATGTGTGAGCATGTTAAATAGGAGTGAATGAAGACGAATGGTTTTTGGGACCTGACAAGCTGTTGGAATGTGAGAAGGGTAATATTTTGTGAAGGGATTCAGGGAAACCGGTTGGTCGGACTCGAGTCCTGGAAATGGGAAGTACATGTACAATGCCTGCACTTTAAAGGATGGGTTTGGGATATTGGCAGTTTGAAGGGACATGTAAACTGTCATATCTGAGAGCCTCTGCAAAGACACTGATTATGTATGAGTGATAGCGAAAGTTTTGAATGATGATGAAAGCTTTTT